GCGTTGCTTTCAGTATCCAAATCGTACAGTTCAACGTTTGAAAACTTACCATGTCGCACGGAATCAGTTTTGCTGCTCCGGGACAAAGCAGATCAAATGCGTTCTGTCACTCCATGATTCTGACATGATTGCAGGTCAGAGGCTTGGCAACTATTTGCAGCGGAGTGCCGATCTTCTGCGAGAGCAAGTTGAGCCGGGTTTGTCGCACTCAATGAATGCAATTGATAACCAGATTCGTTTGGTGCTTGATGCGACAGGACTGACAGTTTTGATGCTGAAGCCATTTCACCACCACGTTCAAGCCAGAACACCAATACCATAAGAATAGCATGTAAAGTATGTGAAGATTCCTTTACCATCTCCTTGCAGGACCTCGGTACGTCAATCAAACATTGCTTGGTCAGAATCTATTCGTGCGACGTGTTGGCAATATCTTCTACACGCATGACTTTGGCGAGCAGCTCTTCCAAGAAATCATCTTGCACCCTGCGAAGGCTTCGGAAGGGTTGATAAATGTTGAAAACTGCTGATGGCGCTTAGTTTTCAGTTTCTCTTGTTAGTGCCGTGCATGTTTCAGGCAAATCTTGTCTACTTTCCAGGTCAAGACAATGTGGCCGCGGTTCATGTTGGAGGCCGTTCGGCGTGGCTCGGTCTTAGCGAACTTGTTGCCTTCCCACACATCTCGATGGTGGCCATTGGTAGAGGATGTGTTTCACTCACAGCAGTCGTGCTTGCTTCGCACCAGTATCTTGAAAGAATGTACAGAACATCAAGAGTTCACAACTCTTTCCATTGATGGCACTTTCAAAATTTGCCTGTCACTTTTGGGACAAGTTCCTTTCAATGCCCCCAAGAAAAGACGAGCAGAAGCAGCATTTAGAGATGAAGACAGCATCAGGCGGGTCATCACTGTCAGGGGGAAGACTGGTGCAGTCGTTGCTATGTTCGGGGCTGCTGGAGAAGGTTCAGATCATATTGCAGAAGGTCTTCAGAAGCATTTGAGCAAAGAGTCCCTCATTCAAGTCTGCTTTGTTGCAACAGATGCCCCTAGTCGCCGGCTCTTCTGCAAATTGAAGGAGATTTTGCCAAATTTGCGTGGATTGCTTTTGGATCCCCTACGACCTAGCAATGCACTACGAATCGTCTTCAGCCCGCAAGAGAACAGCAGGTTCGGCAACCTTGAGGCGCTGCCTCGCAAAGTTTTCGATGCCTTTGCTCTATCAAGGCGCGTTCTACACTGGTCAGCACTGCCCTTCAATGTCTGCTCATGAGCAAGTTCTTCAACAGCAAATCCGGGACGGAGCAAGGCCAAAAAACTATTGGAGGATATGGACAGTACCAGAGCTTGGCAAAGTCATGTGGACTTTGTGGAGCGGTTAGCGGCTATAAGCTCGGTTTATCGCTCAGAAGTTGTCAAGAAAACAGAAGAAGGGAAGCCCGTGTATGACCTTCTCTGTCAAGCTGCCCAGCCAGACCGGCTGGGGTGGCTTTTCAACAATGCCCGTGCCAGGGCATGTATGTCAGCAACTGATCAGGTGCTCATGCCCACAGGCGCCACCAGCAATGAAAGCCTGCACGCTGAGCTAAACGGGTGGTTCCGGCAAACGCAGGCAATGCACAAGAGCGCGCTCCAGTTGAAAGTAGACATCATTGTGCTTGCGAAGCTGGTGTGTCACAATGCCGCTTTGTATTCACCAACAGCCAGGCAAATGTTGCCCAATCAAATCTTGGCCCGGCGCATTGGCAAAGGCTTGTGGAGTGACAGTGCTTGGAAGGACATGGTGACGAGAAACGGACTTGAAAAAGCAGTCCTACCTGTGGAGAAACAGCGACAGGCTGAAGCCCAAGCAGTTGCCAAATGTGTACAGAAAAAGCCTTGTACGAAAAGGCCATCGCAGCATCGGACTCCCTCTAATTTGCCGCGCTCGCAAGGCATATCACGAGCAGGTGTGCACGGCAGGTCAAAGCGGCAGAGCAACAGAGCTTAAAGCTTTCGAATGTGAGTTTGGAAAATGAAAGGTATGTTGATGAAATGTAGCTCGGCTGCTGGACAGTATACACATCAGCCCATAGAACAAGATAATCCGTCGATCCAGCGTTCCGGATAGATATGTTGTCGTGACCACTGTCTTCGATGGAATGTATTCCAGCCGATAGACAGCATACCTAGCGACCCAAAAGCATTAGAACAATACATTTATCTACAATCCAGCGTACAGGATTGTTATACTGTCTTGAATCGCTGTCTTTGAAGGAATGTATTCCAGCCGAAAGACAGCATACTTATCAGCCCAGATCGAATCATTAAATTTACATATAGATACCTACGTTGATCCAGCCTTCCGGACTGACACTGCGTCTAAACAAAAATCTTTCGTTTATATTATATGGCCACAAACGTTCAAGAGTTTGTTCAGCCGGTGTTGACATACGCGTGCACATCCACACATTTTCTTAAGCATTAACGAGAAAATGATATACCGAAAGATGTTTCATTCTGCTTTACAAAGTGTGTGAAGGTGTTGTATCGCTACTATTTTGAATTTTTGAGAATCTTCAACACATAGTACTTTTGAAACCTTTCTTTAGTAAGTCAGAACCCCGTTGTCAAAAGAAACACTTGTTATACTCTAGCTACGTCCCAAAACCATTTAAAAACATCACATTCCTCGCGTGCTAAGGAGCACGAGGCGCTGGACCGTTGCCAAGAGCACCAGGAATCATTTTGCGAAAGAAGGAAAACATCAGAGCGCGATTTATTCAAAGACAGGTGGGTTGAGAATACATACATAACACAACATGTATGTTTATATTTTCATATGCGGAAAAGAGTGAACAGAGGGTTCAAGAGACCAGCATCGCATTATACCAATTATTCCCTGCCACCCCCCCCCTCCCCCCCTTGACACCTACCAAGTCAAGAGTCCTCTCCCCCCCACCCCCCACCTCACAAGCAACATTTATATAGAATGAAGGAATGAGTTTGCAAACTAGAGGTTTGGTTTGCAAACCAGTTTGTTTGTTGCAATGTTACGTAAGTAATGAAGTTGGAAGCCAGATGTTGAAGTAAGCAATGAAGCCAGATGTTGAAGTAAGCAATGAAGCCAGATGTTGGTGAAGCCAGATGTTGGAATAAGCAATGAAGCCAGATGTCAGATATTGAAGTAAGCAATGAAAGTATGTATGTTGTAGTAACATGTAAATGCCTCAAAAGTGGAGGTCCGAAATCATCCCCTAGCCATATATATATATATACCCTAGGGATCCAAGTACCTTCTCAGAAGGTACTTGGACCCTCCAAACCTACATAGCGGTGTCTCCAACCACCTGCTGGGAAGGTACGACTGGATCCCTGGGGATATATATGTATATTATGTACAAGACACTCTTCTGCTACCGATTAGACTTTTTGAGTCTCTATTTGGTGGTCAGACCACCAAGTGAAAGTCTCCATGACTCCCCCTGAAAGTCTTGGAACATCTTGCAACATCCAGTCACGGGAGCAGCCGACCGTTAAGAATGATTGAATTGGAGCTGGATGGATCTCAGGGCTGTTGAAGCTTATCTTGCGGAAGAAGTGAACATAGTTCTTGAGCAAAGAGCTGGTTTACAGTGGTGATCCCTCATTGCAAGAAACATGGAACCCCCGCAGCCAAAGCATTGGTCAGAGTATATGGAACCTTCCAAGCCAAATGTGAATGTCATCGTGTAAAATGCGTTGGGTTTAGATTCCCTTGTTCTTCCCAGTCTAGTATATATATATATATGTCTCCTGGACCGCCGTATTGGTACACTAAAAGGTGTGCCAACATGTACTAACACACGGTTTGGTATCTAAAATTGGTAAGTGGCACTCATGTTCTTTCAGGCCTCCCAAATGAGCACTTGTAGAACAAAAAATACCAATTGGTCTTCCCATTTTGGATGCAAGAACATTTTATATTGAATGTTTTTTTGCTTCTTATTAGTCTCACTCAGTGGATCAGGAAAAACCTGTACTTCAAATTCTGGTACAGTCGCTTAAGAGATAGGGAGGATCAATCAATTGTTGCTTCTCTTTCTTTCATAAAGGTCAGTTTGTGTTTGTCTCAAGATAAATCACGCAAAGGGTTCAACAGCGGGGAGAGCAGGGCGGGCGGCTGAATTACTATGTCACACTGAGACTTGGGCTTGAGAATATCGCGACTACGAGAGATGGCTTGATTTTGTTCCCTGTTCTGGTTGAGCAAAGACAAAAGCAACTGCCAGTGGAGAACATTCCTCCAGCAACCCTTCTCCAGGACGCCAGCTGCGGATTAGCTCCACCGATTTCTGAGAGGCGTGTTGCAGTGGAGAAAATGTCGCATTTGATGCGTGGCGTGACTGTCCTGTTTCTGATCCTTGTGCTCTCAGGCAGTGGGCAGCCCAAACACCACAGAGATAGTTACACGGGACCTGGGTAGAATATGTGCCTTGTGTTTGTGGGTATGCCTATAACTGAGATAACAGACAAAGCAGTAAAACAGGGAGTGGACACCAAAGCAATGTACTTGTACTTTTCCAGTTGATTTGCTTGTGGTTCCAAACTAGTCGGCTGACCTTTTCCTGGCGGGTCTGTTCAGACGTCTTAGAGGCGTGATTGCAGACTGGCATCGAACGTTTCGAAGCGTTTCGAAGCGTTTTGCTCCGGGCCAGGAGATGGACAGGATTTGTTACAGTGGGAAGCGATTCCCTTTTTACTAACGCGAAGGGCATTCATCCAAGTGTTTTTGGCATGTGAGACAACATGAAACCGTAAGCAGCCACCCCACAGAACACGCAAGTTTTGCCTAAACATTATTGTAAATAATATGCACAATGAACCATCTTGAAACCTGCATGTCTTATGTCAAGCAGAAGATGCACAAGATCATCAGCTTGCCACAGATGGTTTCTGGTTACCTTGATGCACTTTCTTGGCTTTTGTGTTTTGCAGCATCGACCCGCGGCCCGCGGCTTCCAGAGCCATCGACGGCCCACCCATGGTGCTGGGCGATGTCACCAACACCTTGCAGAGCGGGGAGAGGACTGCGACCGGCGACTGGTGCGGTATGGACGGGCGATGAATGGGAATGGCCGGCTTTAAACCAGACCGAGACACGGCCAGGTCGACTCTTGATCAATAAGACACCCCCAATGTAGCCATGTAGCATCATGTAGCGATGTAGGTTGCTAGACCTCTGGTTCACATGGGTGGCTAAACCTCATCAACAGTCAAATATGGGCGGCTCCATGCTTTAACCCTTCCAACGTGGCGAGGTTGAACCGTTTTTGGACAGGACAAGAGGCGAACTTGTGGGTGTCTTTCAGGGTGTCTTTATCACTGAAATCAATTAACTAATTACTTTACTTCGAGTGATCCCCAACATGACATTCCAATCATTTGTCTTGTTGCCACAGTGAGGAGCATGTTGCCATGGTCGTGAGTATTGTAGTTCTCGATTTTGCTTGTGGGTCCTCAGGTTGTGTGCTGTGGTTGTGTGTTGTGGTTGTGGTTGTGTGTCTGTGGTTGTTTGTTTGTGTTTGTGTGTTTGTGGCTGTGTTTGTGGTTGTGTGGTTGTGTGTTTGTGGTTGTGTGTTTGTGGTTGTGTGCTTGTGGTTGTGTGTTTGTGGTTGTGTGTTTGTGGTTGTGTGTTTGTGGTTGTGTGTGTTTGTCGTTGTGTGTTTGTGGTTGTGTGTTTGTGGGTATGTGTTTGTGATTGTGTTTGTGGTTGTGCGCTGTGGTTGAGGTCCGCCAGGGAACACTGGGCGTGGATGGTCGCGCATGAGGTCCGGCAGGGAACCCTGGGCGTGGATGGTCGTGGTTGAGGTCCGGCAGGGAACACTGGGCGTGGATGGTCGTGTTTGAGATCCGACAGGGAACGCTGGGTGTGGATAGTCGTGGTTGAGGTCCGGGGATGGTCGTGCTTGAGGTCCGGCAGAGGAGGCGGAGGAGGAGAAGGAGAAGAAGGAGGAGGAGATGGGGCTGACATAAAGCCTATCAACCCTCACCTGACAGGTGGGGAAAAACTGTATGAGGTTTCAATCAGTCTAGGGATTAGATCAGGAAAATGCATTTGGGAAGATGGGTGTGTCGTGTTCAGTTGTTCTATTAATGATGTTCTGTGTGGTTTGCTTATGGTTTAATATGTACTTTCAAGACGCTTCGAAAGGGAATGCTAGTCAATGTGTGCAAGCAGCGCGTTGAACGTGTGTAGCGCTTGCACAGTAAAAAACACACGACGTCTGACATGATAAATACTATACACTCAACTGAGGGCCTGCCATCGAGTCCACAAAGCCGCCATGCTGTTTCCCAACAAGAAGCCAAGACAGAAAAGAACATATAGTTCACTTAGTTCACTGCACAACACATCAACACTACAGCTATGCACAAAACAGTCAAACGTAAAACGACTGAGTCAGGTGATGTGGCCAAATGTGACAGGTGGATAAGGCTGGGATCGCATGGCCATAAAATGCCATAAATACATACACTGTGGCTGCAGCTATTGTACCGCATTGTAACCAGAACAACAGATGCAAGGAATGTCGGTTTTCAACAAGAGATGTTTCTTTGCAGAGTCAGGCGGATTTCCCAGATTGCCATCAGTTTCCTCAATTGAGGAAAGGTGTGTAAGCTCTCCAAAATGTTCATGTAGATTCCTCAACAGTTCTCACAGCTCCCCAAATTATGCAGAACTTGTGGAAGTCGTAAAACTGAAACCGATACGAATTGGAAGGATATGCGGCTGCCGAAACGCGTCAATGTAGCTGCCGATAGTCCAAGATGACACAGTGCTGAAGTTGCAAACGTGGTATCGTGACGATATTGTGTTCCTTGTGATTGCAGTCCGCAGAAGGCGACACTGTCATTTGTGCGAAGGATCTTAAGGGAATGTGTGGGTGCAATGCGTTGTTCGATCACTCATTTGTCATGTTTACAACAATCTGACCAAAGACAGGTGAGATGTGACATCAAGTAGACACTTTATAAGAAAACATCACCTTCGACAGATCACAAAATGTATGAACCATATTCAACATGAATTGTTTTTGTTTGTTTCAGAAACATTGTGCACATATGATATTGTCTATAGTATAGCCCCTCTCTGATTGGACCTCAACTTTAGAGACATTGCCTTTAGTTTTTGGCCACAGCCCATGAATTCGTTCCTTTTCGAGCGTGTCGATGTTGCGCCTCGCAGGACGCAGAACAAGTTGCCCGTGCGCGTTGCGCGCGCAGCTCTGAAGCCTGGGCCAATGCCCAAGGGAGCAGAGGCCATGCGGCAAGATTTGAGTTGGGAGTTCTTTCCCCCCGATGTGTGGAGTGTCATTCGACGTGTCGAGTCATATCAGTCATATGTTGTTTTGCCATACTCTCTAAACATAGTGCTCCCCAAATAGATAGTGGCATGGTTTCCATTACATTTTCTACGTGGGGATCTACCATTTTCTATTTATTTGGGAGTCTTGGAACAATGGGTGTGTGTGTGGGACCCTTCATGAGCCAAGATTCCGGGAGCCAAATGAACTGAGCAGGACCCACCCCGGGTGGACTATTTTTCATTCCTTGGGTTTCATGTGTCCATATGTGTTATGTGTGTTCACCAACATACTCGTGTGTTTTTCCTTGATTTACCAGTGTTTGTTGACATACCATGTTTGTTGCCACTTCATCCTTGTATCATTTGTGTTATACCATCAGCGGCCACGGATATTCAACCGACATGAATCCGATGCGTGGAGACGGAGACGTCAATCCGGTGCATGGAGACGGAGAGGGAAGGTTTTTGTGCTACAAGATTGACAAGATTGAGAGAGCTCGTCGAATGCACAGAAGCCTTGGCGTTGATTCTTCTGTTGTGCCTGGTGCAGCCAAGCCCTGACGTGAGCAAACCCTTGGAGACCAGTGATTCATCGCCATGTCCCGTCTACAACTTCGTTGCCTTGGGCTTTGGCGGCATTGACGCCGGACACGTCGCCGTCCGGACGTCTCTTTCACTCGTCGGAAGGATCGCTGACTGCCACGAAGCGAACGCGGACGGACCGGTCGTCGACGGATCAAACGGCTACGGATCAAAGGAACCTCTTGTACGTGATGTACGGCGTCAAGGCCTTTGATCGTCAACTTCGAAAGAGCCTGCTTATGTCACTTTAGTGACCATGGTCACCATAAGACAAATCGCTTGACATCCAGGGACAGCTGATAACTCTAGGTCCTCTAGGTTATGCCTGCTTCATAGCTGACAAGTAGTATAGGTTCTGCAAAGTTAGTTTGTCAGTGAGTTGTTCTTGTTGTTCTTTCTGGAACTATTTTGACAAATTGTATATGCCCTTACCAGTGTTTCTGTTTCTTGAGAAGCATTGCAAGAAGGATCCTGCCACTTCATCCCATTGTCGCCTCAAGATCTTACTTCTCTTGTTCCACTGGAAAAAACACAAACTCTAGGAGCAAGTAGCTACTATAGGAACAAGTGCATCGCTACTAGGAGCAAGTGCCTTACTAGTAGTAACAATAAGCTACTAGGAACAAGTCAAATTTCATCTGCAAACTCTTTCGATTCAGTCCTCTCCGTGCCGGTCCCGTCAGGCCAGGCGCCTCTTTGCACGGCTTTCGGAGGGCGAGAAGGCGCCCGCGCGAAGACGGACCCGAAGACGGCAGACGGTGGGGTCAATGCCCCAGCAATCCAGTCATCAAGAATCAATGGAAGGGCCTTCAGGATTCTTAGGGGGATTTGAATCTACATATACTAACGGCGCAAGCCTTCAAGCGGGCGTGTAGCCGTGGAGCTTCCGATGGGGCCACTTTGTTCTGCAGGTGGGCTGCCGATGTGGGACATGGAATGACTCGTCCATCAATCAGAGTGCGCCTCCCTTCTCAAGTTGGACCATTTTTGGTGGAATGAACAAATTTTGTGAAGTCCTGCACCACAGATTTAGACCACCATTGTGGTATTTTCTTATGCAGGATATCATCCATTTGCATTGAGGCTACATTGCTAGGTGTTTGTTGCCCACTAGGGACACTATGGCGGTTGCATGACAAAGAACCTAAGGACCAAAGTCTAAACCAAAATCCTATACATCTTGAGATCAGACAAGTCGGAAAAGCCGAATTTCGTTGATTCAAAGATCTATATCGATCCTGGATCTTCCAACGACCAAAAAATTCTGGTAGTTTTGGTTATTGACCCGGTTTTCCGCGCAAACGCCCGCAAATCAGCGTAACCGACAAAACGACCGCAAATTAGCACAAAACGCGCGCAAAAAAAACAGCAAACAACCACAAAAATCCGCAAAATAACGCAAAACAAACAAAACGACCAAAACGACCATAAAACCAAAACAACCATAATTGTTTGGTAGTTGGAAGGTCCAGGATGTTTTAATCATCAACTTGTAAGATCTCAACACCTACACAGTCCCATCGTTTCGTGATAATGGAATGCCTGTGTGTTTTGGCCGCTTTCACAGCTAGGCCGAGTGGGCAGAGGCCCGAGCAGAGGTTGAGAGGCGCACCGAGGTGCGGTGTGGCTGATGAGAATAGGTCCAGAATTGGGGTGTAGAAACTCAGGAAATCTACCTATACAAATGGATCAAACCAGGTGTGTCCCAAAGCATCTGAAAACAACATGTTGTTGTCGTTGTTATTTTGAAGTTTTCGTTGTTTGATGAGAACCGAAGAAAAACTTGATCCTGGAGGTTGTTGATTGCTAACAGCTACATAGGGGTGCAAGGCGTAGTTTTATGCTGCAGTTTTGGACCACATGCCCAGCCACGACCTGTTTGGGTGGTTCCCTGAAACCAACCACTCCAACTGATCGGTTTGGCTATGCCTACCCAGTCAGTGGAGAACCTGGGAATTCGCAAGACCAGCTAGGTGGACAGTTTTTTGACCTTTTCTTCTGGGAAACAGCTCGAGAGTTAGATATGCCAGTCTCGTTTGCTGGCCTGGTCGAACTATTGGTCCCAACTTCCCAACAAGCATTCTTCGTTGAGAGTTGAGAGCTAGGCCGCAGCCAGGGCTTGATGAAAGCTAGCGGCACTTCTAGGTGTTTGTGAAGAAGCAATTGGGCCAAGCGAAGCTTTATTGGTTGAAACAAAAAGCAAATCTTTGGACCCAAACGGATTGGACTTCCTTTCTGATCATCTTCGTTCACCCACGGAAGACGGCGCGGGTGCATGAAGCACATCGAGCATCAAGATGGTGTCGGACTGTCAGTGTATGTCGGACTGTCAAAGCGTTTGGGGCACCTGAAGACACCTGGCCCACCTGGCTGAGGCACTGCTGGAAGAGTTACGGCCCTGGCGTGCTCAGGTCAAGGAGTTTGGGTCGGAAGAGTGGGGAAAGCTACCATCAGGTCGAGGTCTACAGTCACTGCCACGTCGCTACGCTTCGATCCAGCTACATCAGGACAGATGTCCAGTGTTCACCCAACAATATGCTGCAATTCCAATGACCCAAAACGACCTCTGTGACTTTCCTGGGTTCGAGCCTGATATGTAGCTGAAAGCTGAAGCGCCTAGAACTTTCCGACGGTATTTCACTGCCACTTGCCAACTTCAGCCACTTCAGCTTAGCGAAAACTGCTCCATTGAGCTGATTGACCTAGTCTTGTGGCCTCAAGTCTTGGCAAAGTCTTTTGGCACTGGAAACATCAGTGTTTCATCATTCACACTCGTTTGATAGAGGAAGTTCTTGCAAATCTAAACCCACGTCACCAACTCTTCTTTATTCCACAGACCGCCACTGGAGAGGTTCCCAAGACCAGATTCAGGTCTCACATGGTCTCACCATATCCGAGCAACTGAACACCGGCTTTCACTCTCGAATTCTTGAAAACGCCCGACGCACCGTACCGGAAAACAGCACAGAACCTCCCACCATCCTCCGCACACCGTACCGGCGCACCATGAAGCGTCCAGCGGCCGCGGCCGAAGCCGCGGTTCGGCCGAAGAAGCCGAAAGCTGCCGCGGAGCACGACGAAGAAGCGCCGGAGTTCTGGGACTACGAGACGAATCCGCCCGGGACGCCCGGGACGAACCACCGAAACGACGCAGAGTTGGCGCAGGGGCGGCTGCCACCACCGCGGGTGCCCGGGGCCGGGCGGTGGTCGATGGTCTCAAACGGGTAGTACATGGTCCAATGAATGGGTCCATTTCCTTGCTATCCAGGGGCCGTTCAGAGCCAGATGTTCAAGAGCGAACCACTTGAGGCTGCCCCTCATGGTGTCATGAACAACTCACCCGTAAGTTGTTGAGATGTTTTGGAGGTGTTTTGGTGGTCTACAGCCCAAAAGGTCGCTGTCATGGACCTCAGGTTGCAAAAGGGAATGGCGAGGAGCGAGATGGCTTGTTCAGTGACAGCTTGTTGCAAGCGAAAGCTTCTCTCTCGGTGAGTTATATAATGTTATTTTGAGGATGATTCTGACAATGGCCAGTGACAGAAACAAAGTGCCCCAAACTTAAGGATCTGGCGTTCTGATGATACACCGATACACATTATAGCGCATTATAATACAACTTAATACAACTAACTATAACAAAGACAATAAGAGACACTGCCTTCATGCTTTGGGTATTATGGATTTGCAAATCTACTCCATGTGCAAGTCCAAGAAACAGAGCTACAGCGAAGGCCAAGGCGGCCAAGGCTTGAAGATTGGCTGGCAAGGCCACCCGGACACTGCCCAGCTTTCGCGCACGGCTGGCAGGTCAATGTGGCTCGGTGGCTATGGGAACTCTGCAACTGACCGCACGAAGCACAAAGCCAAGGAGGTGACAAAGGGTGTAGCTGCTGGCGAGCAAATGTTTAAGGCGTGTCCTGGAAATATACAGTGCCTTGGAAGATGTATTAAGGTCTTTGCATTGAATCATCAACATGACCAAACAATACCAAACATATCTTGCACAAGACGTTCTTTGCCTAAAGCCCCTCAAAAGGAGGCCGGTCACTTGAGGTGGCCTCCAATGCCGGTCACTTGAGGTGTATTCCCTTTGGAAAGGCAGAACTAAAGAACGACATGTCGATCCGGATTGAAACTTTGCATGGTATATATAATTCAGTTGTGAACCATAGAGCGTTGTTGGCTTCATTTTTTGACCATGTCAGGTGCGTGATTCTGTCCAAAGGGGTTTTTGCCAAACCTGGAGAGAAGGCGTGCGGCGAACCCGCGTGCGTTGTCCGAATGAAGGGAAGGCCCATCGCGGTTAATTATCCCGGCAAGAGACCCCAAACAGTGTGTGTGAGGCAGAAAGTCCGGAGATCTAGACGCATTGGGGTCCAGAGAGGGGATGGTGAGTGTGAGTGAGGTGGAGTGAGAGTGAGTGAGAGAAAGTGAGAGTGAAAGTGAAAGTCAGTGAGAGTGAGAGTGTGAGTGAGAGTGAGAGTGAGAGTCTGAGTGAGAGAGTGAGAGAGAGAGAGGGTGAGCGTGTGTGAGAGTGAGAGTCAGTGTGAGAGTGCGAGTGAGAGTGATAGTCTATGTGAGAGTGAGTGTGAGGGTGAGTGTGAGTGAGAGTGAGTGAGTGTGAGTGAGAGAGTGAGTGAGTGTGAGGGTGAGTGTGAATGTGAGTGAGAGTGAGTGTGAGGGTGAGGGTGAATGTGAGTGTGGATGTGAGTGAGAGTGAGTGTGAGCGTGAGCGTGTGTGAGTGTGAGAGTGAGTGCCACAAATATATTTTGCCGGTTCCGAAATTGTATTAAAAAAGTTTGTGGGGTATCGAGTCTACCTCGTTGGTGTTTTGGTATGTTCCGTCAAAACCATGCGATCCTAACTACATGAACCTTCACATGAATGGTTGTTCAGCGCCCTTGACCCCAACCGGCCCCAACCCCTAAACATTTATTTGTGATGGTAGGCCAAAGGTCCTCATCACATTGAATTCATCCAAAAACACCTGTTTTCATAGACCCTGTGGCAGTATTTGCAAGACAGCATAGGCTGCGTCACAGGGGCCGGCAGACCAGTCGCTCCAGGTCACGATCGACGTCACCTTGACAACCCAATTGAGACGGGGCTGCGACGAGATGGGGCACCGTGTGGTCTCAGAAAGAGGGACTTGATGGGACTCAGATGCACAGCTAGACACTTCTGGCATTTGATACGTCCCAGGTGAACATGATCAAGCGATATCAAGCGCATGTTTTTCGATGCGGGGTGCGGGATGAATTGTTCACTGTTTTTCTATCTCTGAAGGTCAAGTCCCACCCGCACAGCTCACCCAGCATGCCTTCCGTAGCTGAGGAAACATTGTGACTTCTACGTGGGCCTGTTGGGGCATCATGGCCTTGGCACCTATGACGGTGAGCCTCGTCAAGACAATAGCCGCTTAGCCTTTTTTGTGTCTTGTTTTTTCCTGGAAGAGTTGGGAAAACGTGTTTTCATTCTTCTTTGAAAGAGGTTTCTCTCGACCCTCCTGATCTGCCAAGTTTTAAACTCTTGGGCCCTTGGGTCCTTTTTGTTGCCACCTTTGCAGCGGCCAGAAACATGCATCAACAACCTTATATGATCTTATGTGCACAAAAAACACTAACATCAACAAGTTATGCATGTTTCTGACTCGATCGATGATAAACTACAATCGACTACAAAACATGTCTCTCTGACCGACTTGCGAGATCCGCCGTCAATCGTCATGCATGTCCCTGCAGTCAACCAACTACAACGTTTGTCCAGCTCGGCCTTGACCTTAGCAAGAGAGGTTGTATAAGTGATCTCAAAGGACCCTTCACCTGGGGTACCTATGGGATAGTCTTAGAGTCTATAGGGTCCTTCAATCTTTGCTGGAATTTCCAATGTTACAAACTCGTCAGCCCGGAGAGAGGAACTTGTTGGCCCGGAACCCGCTCTTAGGAGGTCCACTTCGCGCTTTGCGGCGGCAGTGGGCGCAGCGGAGTCTGCCAGAAATTCAAAGACGCCGAGTTCGGCAGTGACTTCGGTGTTAACAAATTCGGTGGTGTTCAGACTTAACATATCGTCGTACGTGTTTTGCTAGAATTGTTCTCAAAAAATCGGAAAGCCTGGCCTGACCAGATTCAGTCTGGCCACCTGGCAAAAGACGCAAGAGATGGCAACTTCACATGTTCGCAGACGTGTGTCTCGATCTGGTGAGTGACGAGTGGTCACCGAGTGACCATACAGTATAATTAAATGTGAGTGACCTGCCGTTGTTTTTTTTTGCGTTTTTGGTTCAAAACTTCGGCCACCCTCCAAAGATTGCGTGAAAACCAAGGTTTTCACCGCAAGGTTTTCACCTCATTGGACTCTGTTTCGGTGAGTTGGTACCGACCTGGTGGGAACACAGGTGTTGGACAACACCCGTTAGTTGGGTAACATCCATTTCAGACAGAACATGACAGAACCCATGCAGCTCAATTTGGCAACGTTGACCACACCATGCAGGAGAGGATGTTTCAAGAGACTACTTGCAGTTTAATTCTGCACCACCCCCAATTTGGTCATGAATGTGCATGTTTTGGAGCTTTTTGATGAGCGCTTTATTCGGTGCGACCAACTTCCACGTGCTTGCAACATGTATCCATGCGGACCGCTGGCAAGCTGATCCCAAATTCAAGCAGAAGATACATACCGCAAAATCGTTGCTTTCACTACCCCGCTGTCTGGAAGCCCGCGGTCGTTGAAGGGTATACGGTCTACGTGTCCATTGTGTCAGTTGGGAGTGGCGGTCTTTCGTCCTTCTTTGGGCTCCGCTCCGTCGCCACGACGTCCGCGGCAGCAGCACCGAAGGCAAACACGGCGGCAGCTTTCCGGCCATCGAATGCGGAGACGTCGCTCCCCGGCGGCGTTGAGTATAACGCGTACCGTCGCACGAGCCGGCCGGGTTCAGCGGCGCGCCAAACGTCGGAGCCCGGAGCACCGAGGGAGCTGCTCAGCGAGAAGCGAGGAGAAATGAGAGGTAGTGTTGTTGATGGACTTGGTGTGATATGGTGTGATTAGCAAGATTACATGTAATGCTCTCCAAAAGCACTGCCAGAGTGGAAGACGACATGCTGGTCGTTTTTTTTTTTTGTGGGATGATGTCGTGGTATTGAGCACTTGTCGATGATCACTCAGTAGGTTTGGGAGGCTTTGCTGTTTTTTTTGTATAGATGTGCTGATGAGTCAACCCCTCCATGCCAATACCATGTAGCCTCCATGGATGAAATTACTTTTAAGATCTGAAACACCTTTGGGGGCAGCAGAAGCCTCGGGCCTAGGATAGAAAAATAACACATACTCCAGAACGATCCAACATGTGTGGTGCCCTAAATCCGAAAATCATATATAAGGTTTTGCTGATTGCCTCTACAGCTATGCTAGTTGATGGTTTCGGATTTTTTGTATTAACCCTTACTTGGGGATGATTGGACCGTTTGACTAATATTTTTTATGGGCTGAAAACACCAACCAGTATGGCATTCTTAAAAGACCATCACCTGAGATGAGCGACATGTTTCCATGGTGTATGAAGCCTATCTGGAGCATCCACCTCCACAGCATGTCATGTTGATTCATTTCATATGCGAATGGATGCACTTGCATTGTTGTGATGTATTGCTTGCTTTGATCAACTAAACACACGTATATAGAATCATATGATGTGCAAACACATACCAGGGGCACGCATTTGTCCACGAGTACCTTGGTTAGTTTGCAGGTTCGGATGTCCCTCTTCATCGATGAAACGGAGGATGTCTTGCAGTATTGGATCAATGACGAGGAGTTGTGTTATCTTGTGGGGTGATTCTCTTGCCCAATGGTTGGATTTTATATGTTGGATTGAACATGGGAAATCCACATGGCCATGACATGAGCCCTTCTAGAATGATTCTACCAGGATTTTGCATCCAATGCGCAGCATCCAAGGGACACCAGAGCCACTCCTGGTTGTCCATGAGTGAAAAAGATGGGTGTTCAAGTTTCCAAGGTTTCCATTGAAGGTTTCGGCCTCAAGTGGCTCCAACAGGGCTCCCATGGCTCATAGATTAACGTCGATCTCATGAAACAGCACCAATGGCAGCCCATTGTCAGCCCGGCTGCACATGGTTGAAGGTGTGTACTACAGCACTGGTTGACTCAAAAAATATAATGTTGATCCTTCTCCGACCCTCGTCATGATCCATCCTGGGTGATGCAGGAGGTGACTGAGCAGGACATCGTTCAGACCGTCAGTCAGATTCGAAGCAAAGCCACTCGCAGTGGTCCTTGGCGCGGTTGGACTCTTGGCATTTAAGAGAAGGAGTAAGATGTCATGGAAGGAGAGAATTGGCAGGAAAACAACAACCACGACTATGGTTTAACCCCCCTGTGAATGCAAGTATCTCATGCATCTCTGTGGAGCTAAGTCTTGCAGGGAGTTCCTTTGATCCATTTCCAAGACACCCCATATGCCATGTGTGCCTACTGAGGCCTACGAATGGGGGAAATCTGTTGGAAGCAGGAATCTAGAGTCCACCAACTGCAGTTCTGGTTGCATGGTCGAGACTGAACACTAAAGCAATTTGTTTCACAAGCAAGTCTGCACTGCATTGGACAACCCCACCCGTTTGTTGTTTTGTGGTCTACTTCAATGACTCAGGACCCACAGACGTGCAAAGTCTTGCCCGCGAGCGAACCTCCTCGCACTATACTCCCATCCAAGCGGAACCAAAACACCGGTGAAAGCAGCACCGGTGAAAGCACCCGCGCGCTTTTCCGCGTCCGCGCGGCGGTAAACGTCCATCCGCGTTTCGCGACGTTTCGAGGAGACTCTTCATCGGCCTCACGGGCGCCACGTGCAGCGTGAAGGTGCTGTGAGCGACCGAAAAGGGTCGGTGGACCTCCATCGGTCCTGAAGGTCCGGTCCTCGAGGAGTTCGGTCCGTGTCAGGTCTCCCCAGTTCGCCCTGTTAGACGACAGACGACCTAGACGACCTGTTGATTTGGGACAGTTGATGTATCTTTTCCCGGCCATATCTATGGCACCCAGGGCAAGGCCAAGATGGGTCTCATGGAGCGGTGATCCGCGGGAGAGACCTGGAAGACAAAACACATGTGATCCGCGGAAGGGTCTTTTTGGGTTTCCTTCAAACTCCAATTCTATGGATTTGATTTGACACGTTTGTTTCCTGGCTAAAGGGTAGAAGTCAGTCGCCTCGGGGCCTACGTCAAAACGGCCAGTCGCAGTCGATACCCAAGACCCGTAGGGAAGTTGATATCCTTTCATTGCGCGGTTTGGGAAGTTGATGGAAGTTGGAATTCATCCGGTTTGGGAGACACGGATGGAGAGATGATGCTTCGTCATGGTTCGTCATGGTTTTGCGAAATCGCACGTTTTGCCTGCGATTGTGTTCAAGCGATGCCGATGCTGAAATGATCGGCACCGTTTGCCAGAAATCATGCGACATCGAACAACTGGTGTTCACATCGAAGAAGCTTGGGCATGTGTGTCGATGTTCTTGCAGGCCCAAGAAGTATTTCTTTTAGACGCGAGAACGAGGACCGATGTCCACAGACCGATGTCCGGCAGCAGAAGCTTTGAGAGGAAGTCAGGGGATATACGCTCTGTGCGGATGTAAACATCACCCCGTGTTTGAGGATTCATGAAAATCACCACTGCTGCAGCATGGACATCATGAAGCCTCGCCCCTTCAGCACAACAAAAAACATATTCAGCATCATTCACCCACTGAGACTCTTGTTGTGATTGGCCGGTGTCATTTTCATTCGAGTTGTTTGAACTCTTTGAGCTAGAAAAGCGTGGCCAAACGTAACTCGCTATAATAAGCAATCTGATTGGATATGCCCGCCATCTGCCTCCAGATCAACCAACTTCTATATATCCGCTTAGCGCACTTCATCTCTTGGTTCACAGAGATCTTCTAGCCCTCTAGTGAGCAAAGCTACCTGGCAAAACATGGATTGTCAATGCCTTTCCATCCACGCTTGAGGGTTCTCCTTTTAGCTAGCCTGCAACTATAATCAAGGTACCTTACCATAATACCATTTATGTCTACGAGCAAGCTTGAGCAGCCGGTCACTTCCAAATCCATGGTTCAGATGCCACTTCAAGGGAAACACGGAATGAGTTGTCGCCATAGAATCATTCATACCCTAGGGATCCAGTCGTACCTTCTCAGGTGATTGGAGACACTGTTATGCAGGTGTGGAGTGTCCACCTTCTGAGAAGGTACTTGGAACCCTAGGGATAGACATCCACTCTTCATTGACCCACCGCTCCACGTCTCTTCTCCGGGCCTCGCCATGAAGCGCCCCGCTACGCGTGGCGCCGCGCCCGGTGATGCCAAGAAGCCCCGGACGGATGCGACTCCGCCAGAGTTCTGGGACTACGAGACAAATCCGTGCGGACGCCTGGACTGGAGCATTGTATTCGGCTCAATTGGATTGGTGGACAGATGTCTCGACAAAGTGCAGAAGAACAGTTGGGAGCTTTCCGAAACGCGCTCCTGTCAGCGCGACGTGACTCATCAAAACACATCCTGCAAATTCGGCAAAAGCAACAGCAGATGTCCCGAACTGCTCAAAAACAATACAAATCCAACATGGGCAATGGTCACAATGCTAATTGAGCTACTGCGCCATGCAAGCCGTGGATCAAGTACAGTTTGCGCTTAGCGCACTGTGAATGGCCGAGAGATTCTCAATTTGGTTGCTACTCGTACTGGCCAAGTTGTTTTCCTTAAGCAGTAGTGGATGGTGGATGATTGAGTGATGAGGCGTAGCCACAAGAAAAGTATTTGAGAACCTGAGAATATAGGTATGGTATGGGAGTTACTGTTTAAGATATGAACCCTGGCGCCAGCATTTGGTTTTGTTTGGTTTTCAGCTTTCTTGGTTGTCCCAGATGAACTAGACTGTGAAATGGAGTGATGAGGGTATGGTGAGATGGGTTTACGTGCACGCAATTGATAGAAGCAGTCTCTCCAACATGCTGTGAAGAGAGAAGACTACTGTAGATCATAATCTATCTAATCTAATCGAATCGAATCTAATCAATCTAATCAAGTCTAAACCAATTAATCTATGTATTTGTTGATCTATCTATATGTATTTATGTATCTATCTATCTATCTATCTATCAGTTCTAATCTAATCTATTCTATTCTATTATATCAATCTAATCTAATCTATTCTAATCTAATCTATTCTAATATATTCAAATCTGATTATTCTAATCTATTCTAATCGATTCTATTCTATCTATCTATCTATCTATCTGTTTGTCTATCAATATATCTTTAAAACATAGCAACTATTTATTTATCTTTCTATTTATCTATCTATTTATCTATCTAATCTAATCTAATCTATTCAAATCTGATCTATTATAATATATTCGAATCTAATCTATTCTAATCAAATTATTCTAATCTATTCTAATCTAACTATTCTAATCAATTCTAATCTATCTATCTATCTATCTATCTATGACAGACAACAGTTTGCCAGTTCGCCTGGGTTTTGTCTGCAAAATTCATGGATGACCATAATGACCAATATGCCCTGGTCTGAACCACAACGAACAATGACTGGTCTGAACCACAATGATTTTATGCTCACGGTATGGCTGGCTGCCCGTGTCACTTTCCAGATTTACTCCGTGTTGAATGGACCCTTTCTCTTGGCCAAAGTCCAGACTGGTACCTCACATGTCGACACTGGTCTCAACCTCGCACCCTGTGCAGCTAGCAGGTCAATGTGGCTCGGTGGCTGTGGGAAACATGCAACTGACCGCACGAAGCACAAAGCCAAGGAGGTGACAAAGGGCGTAGCTGCTGGTGAGCAAATGTTTAAGGCTTGTCCTGGAAATACCCAGTGCCTTGGAAGATTTCTGGATTTCTTTGTTGCTTGAAGAAAGGGGCCACACAAAATCGACTTGGAACATGTTTGTTTCTCAAACTTGACCTTTTCACCGCCTGAAAGTCCTTGGTTTTCCGTGTGGGAGTTTGCACTCGGAAGGGCCCTTGGTTGAAGAACCCGGAACATCAGAATCCAAATAATTTCACAATCGTTGATTTTAATTCTGATGTTCCGGGTTCAAAGACTTGGTTTCACAGACTTAATTCTGATGTTAATTCTGAACCCGGATTTAAAGACTTAGTTGGACAAATTATGGCATCAGTATTTTAAGACATAGCTGTGCAACCTGAAGCTTTTGGATGCTGTTTTTTTGGTGTATATTGAGCTGGGTTCCTTTGCTCTGAAAAGACCATCACGAGAGATATGTTCCTGTTCTACTCTGCTTGGGAACCAGCTGTGGTACTTCAGCCTTGAACAGTCTTCAAGATGTGTCAATGTTGGCATGGACCAGTCTACAATACATGGGGCAGAGACCTTCATGTGACAGGCGATCGAATCCACTTGAGTAGGTTGATTTTGGATTCAGTGTTTGGTGAATTTGTCAGGTGCATTGTGCTGTCCAAGGGGGTGTTCGCAAAACCTGGAGAGAAGGCGCAGGGTGTGTGGGCAGCCCACAGCGACAGCTTGTAGTCAAGCTAATCAAGGTTAGCTTTGATAGGATTTGATGTGAGAGAAACTGCAGAAACTCTGGCACTTATGGTGACTACGGAATCTTGTGATATCTGGATTGCTCAATATGTTTGATTGGTGAAATGCTTGTCGGTGCCCCTACCTACCAGAAACCTTCCATACACGTCTATCTCAATGATACACAAGGCCAAAAAAAACACTATATCCAGAGTGTGCCACCTTCCTCTTGTTTGTTGGAAATGAATGGCTGAAAGATTATGCTGGAATCATAGCAGTTGAAGGTCCAAGCACCTACCCAATCTCAAGATCACAAGAACACAAACAGTGTGTATATATACGCTAGGGATCCAAGTACCTTCTCAGAAGGTAATTGGACCCTCCACACCTACATAACAGTGTCTCCAATCACCTTCTGAGAAGGTATTTGGATCCCTAGGTATATAGTCATTCGAAGGGTTTTTCTTGAGTTTCGAGACGGTGGATTCTCCTGGCTGCGTCGCCTTCACGGAAGAACTTGGCGAGACACCGGAGTTGCCCGGAAAGAGAATGGTCTCCCCCAGGCATGACTACTTCGCTAGACATGTAACAACATTTTTGAGTATACACGAGGTATCCTCCATAGCAGGCTGGTTCATGTGAGGCCGGTTGTATCCTCAAAACATGGTTTTGCAGTCAACTTGGATTCATAGAACAGCAGCAGCTGATGTATGCTGATTCTACCTTGTTCATGTTTGGGCGGTTCACATCCATGTTTGAGGTGTGGCTGATAACTAGCTTCAACTAGTCTTTGGCAGGGAACAACATTGACCTGTTAAACTTTAATCCTGGTCAAGCAGATCTTTGGCAGGCACGACATGCTGTTTACTAAGAACTTCGCGCGGTAAAGTAGTTCCACACAAATTCCTGTTCCCAGACCAGAAATAATTACATCATACATTAGCCCCGTTTATGCTCCTAATGTATAGGTAATAACTTTTCCATACATGGATGGTTTGGAAGAGAGTTTGATTGAACATGTTTATGTTTGAACAGCTTTCTCCCTCAAGAGCTTTGTTGTGACTTTGCTTGCTCCATCCGGATGAAGTGCAGGTGACGATCGAGGTGACCTTGACGACACACATGAAACTTGGGCACCAATGGTTGACCCACCAATCAGAACTTGTATTGATAGATGATTAACTGATGGCCCAGAAAGAGCAAGAACCTTGGCTTCAACCTGCTTGGACAGGGGTTGCCTCCACCTCAAACCGGGAGATGGCTAGGGCTGCAATATCATGTTCCCAAGCTTTTTCACTGTACCTGGTAGTTTCTTGGGCACTGGTACAGGCGAAGCGGAGGAGGTGAATTCTTCTAATGTGGTCGGAACGAGTTATGTATGACGGTATGACCAAATGACTCATAACAACTGGCAGGCTGCTTGATACCAGCGAGCAAGGCCCTTCATACCCCTATCACCGAAGGACCCCGTTGTTGTATAATTTATCCTACAAAATGCTCCTTTTGAGCTTACACAAACACAGTAGAATTCACCACTGTCCAACAGGCTTTGAAGGGCTTTAAGAGTTATATTTATTCTGTTTGTGTGGGGTTCGTTGTGCAATACAAATGTTTAGTGGTTCTCTTGCCAGGCCGCATCAACAAACGTACTTTCGCATCAGGAAGAATTGTGACTTCTACGTGGGCCTGTTGGGGCAGAATGGCCTCGGCACCTATGACGGCGAGCCTTGCCAAGAGAATACCGTTTGGGGAGTGGCGGCTTCCTTCGGGTTGTGTGGGACATGAAGGCTGGCCACCGCACGGCTGCGGTCTGGGCACGACTTCCAAGAAATGCTTACATGGCCTACACAGCTTTAAATTTACCAGCTCTACACGTGTTTCCTACAAGGTCCATTGTCCAACCCCCTTTCTGAGACTTGTTTCATCGAAAGAGCCCATGCCCATCACATCCTGGGGGGAGGTCTACGTCGCTTCCGTCAATCAGGAGGTCTACGTCGCGCTGGGCGGAGTAGGGCTTACTGGGGTCTGCCAGAAATTCCAAGATGCCGAGTGTGGCCGACGCTTGGCTTTGGTGAAAGGAGTATGGGACCTGCCGGCCTGAATAGAAAGCATCTTGGTGAAGTTGTGGAAAGCCATGCGCACAGCGGTTCGACAGTTGGCTACAACGAAAAAAGGCCCTATAGTGGTCAAGTTGCCATTTGTATACTCAGTGTGGTGAGCTTTTGTTGTCGCCCCTAGGCTGTTCCCAGTAGCCTTCACGCAACATAGTGAATCTAGTAATTACACACAATTGAATGCTACTTGACCTGACATGCCACAAAGACAGCCAGGTGTATGTTCATTATCCAAGTCTCACATGACTCTGTTTTATATTTATATATGGGAGTTGATCGAAAACCCCGTGTAAGGAGTTTATATAAAACAGCCTTTCAACCACCATATATTGATCAACCACCATATAGACATATCTTTTGACAGTCAGTGATGGTTTAAACTGACCCACACTCACTGACCTGGCTGCTTCCAGGTAAACTCAGCGACAGCTTTCCTGCAATTCAGATCGGACAAACAGCCCCCTGGCTGTGATCTCTTGGGTCAGTAAGAGTTCAGTGATTCTTTTAGGGCCTTGTGTGATAGTCTTTGAATACGCTGGAAAGAAATTGAAGAGGCCGCAAACACGGCAGACTTCCCTTGCTTTTTGGGATCCCAATGCCTATTGGTCACTGATTGGCCAGCCAGAGCCACTACGTTTTCAGCTTATATATATAATATCCCAACTTGTCTCGAGTGAACCGAAGATTACACCATCATCGCTTTGGCGGTATCGACAGAGCTAGAAAAGGAGCCCTGTCCTTGCAAAACGTGTGTTGCTGATGTTGGTCTTGGCACGTCTTTTTGGATTCCTTGGGGTCATTTTGCCGATCACATGAAGACCTCCCCAGCAACTGTTGCTGGACCATCATGTCCAATATCTTCGCGGACCATCGTGTCCAATGGACATGGTCGCCATTGGGTGACTCGGGCAGGTGGTCCTGATGCAACCTCTATGATGCTTGCTCTTCTATAGCAGACCATGTTGGTTTCATCAATTCGGTGGATTCATGGGTGTGTTTGTTGCTTTGCAGGTTCGGATGTCTCTTTCCATCGATGAGAACGAGGATGTCTTGCAGTATTGGATCAACGACGAGGAGCGACGTCGACTCGATGTGTCTCGCAGTGTTCGTTCCTTCGAAGTTTGCCACGAAGGAGTCGTCACGAGTCGACCCAACGGACCTCGCTGCGTTTCGACGGAAGCGCTGCTTCCAGGTCGCGCTTCCGTCGAGCCCCGTGGTTTGGAGACCTGGGGACCATTGGCAACGTTTCATGGGTCAAGAAAGCTTGTAAATTAGACTAAATCATACGGTTCTCATACTAAAGGATTGTAACATCTCTTCATCACCACCCTCGCAGCCCGTCCTGAACGAAGTCCCCTGTTAGGACGGAGGTCCACGGAACTGCTGACACGCATGGTCAGGCAGCGCTTTTTGTACAAAGTGAAAAAGAAACAAGAGAGAACCACAACCACACTACGAACATAAGCTTTCATTGGATGGTGTATTGATATGTATTATGTATTGATCATATTGGGTGTGTATTGATCTATACATTGAATTATTGGCCTCAACATGAGGGTGTCTTTTCTGGATCCTTTTTTAAGGTCCAAGGATCGGTGTTTCATCTTGTGGAATATGTGGCGTGTTCCTTTTGCGACACCGTTGGTCCATGGCGAATCGCCACACCGTGTCGTCACTCAGGAGGTGATGGCTCCAGACCTGGTGGAGGCCGCCAGCGAGCTTCGAAGCAAGGCCACTCGAAGTGGTCCTTGGTGTGGTTGGACTCTCAGCTTGTGAAGGAGAAAACTAAAGAATTCTGGAGCCTGTGAAGAGGCCGTCGTGTTAGATTCGGTCCTCCTCGCCATGTTGCTTAGAGGGAAAGGTGTTGGTCTTAAGAGTGTCCTCAATGATGTATCGAGTCTGTTCATTTTAGCGTTTTCCTCTGAATCTTTCTGGATGAGATGGAACCTGCATGTTTAAATATTGGATCCAGACTCTTGTTGCACCTCCAACACACTGACTTTGGGCTACGTTTGAAACACCTCTTAGGACTGGAATTCTTTTGGACGGTCTTGCATTTCTGAAATTCAGACCATCTACCTCTATGAACAAAACCCTATGCAGTTAGCGATGTTAGCGGTCACAGTACACAGGTAATATTAGTAAGCACTAACAGACTAACAGTTTTGGAAGCATGGAAAGTGCTTTCTGTGTGATATCCAATGGGTGGTTGGTTCCGTTTTAGTGTATTGACCCCGTCCTCGACTAATTCGTGCTGGTAATAGTTTTTTGGCAAGGTGATGCTGGAGCACGGATGAAGTTGGAGGCTGGAGAACGTTCCGCAGGCGTCCTTGACCGGCCGAGGAGGCTCTTCATCGGTCTCACCTCGGCGACATGTACCGTGAAGCTCCTGTGAGCCCTCAACAGCCTGCAAACCAACAGCGCGCGGCCGCTGATGCGATCTCAAGCTGCAGCTGGCTTGAACAGAAGCCGTTGAAGAAGGAAACTGCCTGTTGAAGAAGGAGCTGTGTCCATTTGGTGACGCCTAAGATGGTTTGTCAGGGGAGTGGCACCTGAGGTATCCTTTAACCACACCTTGTGAAACTTGCATGTTTCGTGGTTCTTGCTGACGATGCAGGCCTGGAGTAGTGGAAGAGACTTGAATAATTTTAAACGCAAGCAGGCTGAGAAAAGAGGAATGGTTTAAGAATGTTCAATACCACGGTGGCCAATCCTCAATTATACAGAACGACGACGACTACTGATGCTTTTGGTACTGTAGATGTCCTTGGGTTCCACGATATTTATAGTGTTTTGGTGGAAGATTGCCGTGGTCGACTGCTTCAGTGAAGCGTCAGGACGGTTCTTTGAACTGTGATTCTCGCTGCTCGAGACCCCAGTCCTATCCCACGATGTCTCATGGATTCTGCTCAGGTTTCGTGGGAAAGATGGTTTGGGATGGTTACAGTGGTTTCAGAGCAGATGGCACAGACCTCAAGATGTCCTTTACATGGGTGTTCATATACCATCTACTCTCAATCCACCATATAGGCAATTCGCTGTTTGTAGCCATTGAGCAATGGCGGGACTCCAAAATGGATCCCTTTGAAGAAGCTGCTTCAGCCTTTTTCTTGTGCCTATATTGGTCCTTCGATTCCGCTTCAAGTTGGAACTTCGGGGCGGATGTTTTGGATCAACATATTGGATCAACTCCCAAATCTGAGAACATTGCTTTGAAGCTTTCGCCTTACCGGTATGGTCAGACCGGTTTCGCCTCCGCCTCACCCGGTTTCTTCTCCCAAGGCCTACCGAACGCATGGACGCTATATATGCTCGCGGTGCAGCAGCACGAAACCGTTGGATCCCAAAAAGCGGCCCCGGGCGTTCCGTTTTCCGCGTCGCGGGTGGTTGTGACGGGCGATTTCAATTGATCCCAAACGAATCCATGGATTGACCTATGTACTTACATTCCACCCCTGAGTCCCAATGTAATAAATTCATCTAAATTATCTAAATTCCATATTTGGAGTACAGGACCGGTGGGAGCAGAAGAGTTGCGGCACCACGGATGGGTTATGTGCAGGTGAATGTATGTAACATTATGTAACTGTTCCATATTTACATCATGTAAGTGGTCGATGACTGCTATACCTTGGTGCTTATATCATGGTTATCATTGTCTGGTGCAGCTCTTCATCTGGTGTTATTTTTGTGGGAGCAAACGGCGTGTTTGGATCCGTAAGACTAGCTTAGATACGTACAGAATCTTATACAGATACTTGCATTCACTGAGCTGCATGAGCTCCCATGAGATGCAACTCTTCCAGTCCCTTGAGATCCCATGGATATTCGCTGGATGGCCAATAGCCCGGGCTAGGACTCCGTCCGGAGTGCGGAATCGGGACGGAGATCGGGTGGTGTTCCAGGAGCTGCGCCAGCGGCAGCGGTTGACACAGCAACGAATGGAGGAGAAATGCAAGGAGCAGAAGGCCAAGACTCAGGATGCGCCAGGGCCCTTGTGTTTTAGTATGTTTTTTTTTATGTGGTGCATGGGGGATTTGGGGCGTTGCATGGTTTTGCGGATTTGTTGTTCCATCAACTGCATGTAGGCAGGCGGCGTTCGACCGTATGGATCATAGCCACCGTTGGTTCCTTCTTCAGCCACCTCGTTCGTTCCTGTGCATTTCGACGGGTGCCAGGTGCTATGTGAAACACAATACCACCAATGTATGCATTAATAGCCATAATACAAGGGAAACTCAGCCCTTTTGGACAATCCCAAGGAGAAAGAGCGAACTTGTGTTCGTTTGTATGTCTTCCGCGTGGGTGTGGTCTCGTGACGATGCAACACTCTTCACGAAGCTGCCTGTTCACATCGCCAATACTCCCTGAACAACAGGGGCACGAACACGAAACAACTACGGAGTGTCAGATTTTTTTTAAAATGAAACCAGCTTCCTTCTCCCTAGGGACCTTATAGTTTTCAAGATCCTCGTCACACCACCGACCTTGACCCCAGCCCTATGGCAGCTGCTCTTCTCGACTTTCAACCGGCCGGGCTCGGCTCGGCCGACCGCTTTCGACCGGCCATCGCTCCAGGAGGCGGAGCTTCGGATCTTCGAGCTCCGCGAAGGCGTGAGTGAGGGCTGAGGGATCCGTTTACGGTGGTACCGAAGCTGAGGTGCCGTACGAGTGGATTTGTAGGGAATATGTAATCTGTAATCTAGTGTAAGAATGTGATTTAGGATCATTAGACAGATGGGATTCTGGATGGTGACCTTCAGTGAAATGGATCACTGGTCTTCACTCTGTGAGATTCATTGAGAGAACACCCAGCTGACCTATGCGACCCACAATCATTCGAGCATATGTCAACGGCCAATACTTCACCTTCCCTGGTGATCCAAACTTCTCCCGAATAGGTAATTATTCACAACTATTCCTTTTTCGCAAAACACCACGAAAAGCGGCTAAGTCACTAGGCCTTCATTTCGCCCGTGTCAGGCGAGGCCTCGTTGACGGCCCAGCTGCAGCAGTTGCACACAGCTGCGCAGCCGGAGCAGGACTTAGCGGCTTCGCTGGCGGCCGGGCTCGCGGCCAAGGCACGGGCAGCACGGGAAGGGCTGAAAGAGCAAAAAGGCAGGGGATGCCATCAAGGAGATGGGTTCCCCAAGGGAGTTTGATGATGTTTGATGGGTGTCTCTTCCTTCTTCGAACATCTTCTTCTTCAGAAAACAATGGCAGCATCATTCATCCCAACTGCTTCACCAGCTTCCTGGAGACCAGCTTCCTGGAGGCCAGCGCTTTGGAGGAGGATCGACAGATAGTAGAGGATCTTCGTCGCGCAAAGGCGTGGAGTCGAGTTTGGGTGCTTGATTCACTGTTTGAACTGTTCTGACGTGTTGGAAGCTTCTGTCGTCGTTTCATTTTCTTGACAGCGTTACAGGTTCTTCCCCAATTGCAGGATCAGTTTCTTTGGTCTCTCTCCATTTCTCATCTTGAACCTAGGAGAAAAAGGTCATTCCCATACAGAAGGCCCGCTGCCACGGGTAGGCACGACACCCACACCGAGCCACTGAAGATGCTACGTGCGTCACGCCAGGAAGACACCGAGCGGCAAAGCTCTTCGAAGCGTCATGTCCTCCAGCTGCTAGAGCTGGCTCGAGCGGAGGAGCGTCATCAGCAGCAAGCACGACAGCAGGTGCGACAACGGGGAGACCACCAACGATTAACAAAGGGCCCTCCAAGCATGGCTGGAGCTTGTATATGTTGTTATTGAATGTTATTGAATTTTGATTAATTTTGTGTGGCTTTATGGAGCTACTGTACTGTAGTACCACTGCTCAAGTAGGTTTTTGTTGCCATTGTAGCGGTGGCTCCTTTCTTCAGCCGTTGGAAAGCAGTTGGAATTTGGTACCACAGCCGGTTCGCTCCTAGTTGCACTTCTCCATTCGCTCCCACCACGTTTCTTGCTCACACACTTCTAGTAATTAGAATTTTGCTGGCAGCTGTTGCATTCGTGCGAACATGTGCTAACACAACACTGTAGTCCATTGTGCAGTTTCAATGATTGACATGCTGCTGCGCCGACGTGCATGCACGATGCACAGATAATGGGCATCATCAAAGATGCATTGCAACTAGGACGAACAGAGTTCTGGTCCAAAAGTATTTTTTTGTTCATTCAGTCCTTGAAAATCAGGGTCAGCGCATATGTACTCGAGCAGAGCTTTTGGAACTAGAAGGTATCAGAATCAAACAAACACCTTTATTTCAGCTTGTTGCGTGATTTGCTTCAAGAGAAAAACAACTCCCTGACGGTATTGCAGCGGAGCAATCGTGAGAACTGAAGTGTCCAAGACGCAAGTCCTTTGAAGCATTGACCATTCATGCTATGGTTGAACAACATTGCTCGTCGACGGTGGATATGTATATATATATATATATGTTATACATAAATATTGTATTGATCTAGAGTCATTGAAACCAAACATCTTCCGATATATACAATATAGAACATTTATTCATTGAAATTGTCTATCGAATCCGAAGCCCGCACTGGCAACATTCAGATGATTCACCTGATCAGCACACCCTGGGAGCAACGCTGGCAGGTCTTGGAAGAGAACGTTCCACGAGCACGACAGTTGCACAACAGTGCCTCGACATGTGACAAATCTGTTGGTCAGTGAATCCTGGGACGAACTGGTTTTTGATATTTATGCCCCAGAGCAGATCTCAAACGCGCACCAGGGTGCCTTAGTATGCTCCATGACACCATTATGGAAACCGGTGTGGTTTTGGGCAGAGATTGAGTATATCGTCGTGTCTTATTTAGACCCTCGTTGCTCCTTGCTTGCATGTAGATATGTAAATATATTAATATATATATATATAGTATGGCATACACGTTAAAAGATCATACTCCACCCTCACACTAGTTGATTAAGACCAGACTATACGCGTGCATGTATGTTCATGCTACTCAGAACCATTTATATTCACCAATCAGGCCACTGGAGTGGGCCACACTGGAGTGAGTGGAGTTCACTCTTTCATTGCTGTACTCACCAACTACCTCAGAAGGTGGTTGTGGTACGTTTGGTGAGTCTAACTACCTTCTGAGGATTTGTTTGAAGGTGTCCGGATCGGTCCACTCACGTTCCATGGTTCAGTGGACTATCAGAACTGTTTCCAAGGTATGCCCCACATCAACAAGCCTCAGATCCCCAAACACCACCTGCCTTGGACTGGGAGATTCATCCTACATGGATTTCAGGTCAACAGCCACCCCTAAGGACGGCGTCCCCATGGATGGCAGTGGTTTGGGCCGTAACTCTGGTCGAACTCGCTCGTTCCTCGCTCGCTGGATCGAGGTTATTTGAACCTCAAAGGCCTGGTGGTGCACCCGACAGG